AAATGTTTGAGAGTTCATAAAAGAGTAACCATAATATACGGTCACATCCTAATCCTTTCTTGACTTCCTTGACCGACCCTGATTATGTTTCTAAACCTTAGACGGATAACTGTCTTTGCCGCTTTCTAGTAAACAGTTACAGAGAAAAAAGACAAAACCATTTTTTGGTATTTCCTAACGCATTTTTTCGGAAGTCTTCATGAATATTATCAAAAAAAAGATATGAGAGGATTTTATATACAAAAAATATAAATTCTCTGAAAAGCTCCAACAGGCAACATAGCGATTTGGCGTGAGGTTCGTCGCAATAATATGCTTTGCCCGGAGTATATATTCCTAAGAAATTTTGATAATTTTACGGCAATTTTGAGCCATTACGGTAGTCTTTCAGCCCTCATTTTCGCCCAAGCGAATGACATTCGGGTTACTTCAGTGGAAACCATGAAAACGTTGATATGGCCTGGACAACGACGTACCGCATCTTTCAAGACGTAACTTCCATCCGTTGTTTTCCTCTGAGCCACTGTGCAACCGGCCTCAGCCTCTTTGATACGTACTTCCATCCAACGATCCTTTCTTTATTTCCAATCGCTTAAATTAGTTCTTTATTGTGGATGCAGCACAGCGCTAACCACAGCTGCCAACAACGAATAATCAGATCAACATCTAGTTATAAATATAACATAGAAATAGTTTCGTCCCCTTTTTCAGAAAAAAAAAACCCAATTTTTTTTCAGAATGACTCGAAAGCAAAAAATCGCATCAAAAGTAGCTTTGGGAGGAAGTAACGGTCCAGAAGCACCATCACTACCATACTCTCTGTGGTTTTTGAAATGCATAGCAATAAATTAAGGCTTCAACCCCTATAGCATTAAAAATAAACGACTCTGTATAATTTTATTAAAATGACAAATTCAACAGAAGAATACAAATCTGGGAAGCAGCACAAACTGTGACTGTTGACCTTTACCGGGCATCCTACTAACAACCAACGCACAGCCATAGTTCAAAGACAACTCGTGAACTGAGTAATAAATATTTGAAATGCAATGTACAGCAGTACTGCGGTGAATAACAAAAAAACAGATTCTAATGCTTCAAATAGACCCGACCATTACGTGGAAAACATAAAGACATTAGAAGCTCAAAGATTGAGTGTGATCTTTTTTCTTTGAAGTTTTGGCGGAGAAAATGCTTCACGCATTCTGCGATCACCTCCGCCGTCTTCGTCTGTTGTCGATACCTTAAATCATTGATTGATTTCGTACGTATAGGCAATCATGGAGAAAATACGGATGATCGACTAGAAGCATACATCACACTACCTTACTTTTATCCTCTTCCACGTCTGTCGTCTCTTGAGCCGCAGGCACGAATGGCTTCAAACCTGGTGGCACCTTTTTCGCAGCGGCCGCGTTCACCTTGAACTTCATCATGGACGCCAGAGCGGCTTTGGTCGGGCTCATCGCAGTTGCCCTTTCCTTAAAAAGCACTAAAATAACTCGAGACAGAAAAAANCCGAGAAGAATTTCTAATAACTAGGAACTTGGACAGAAAAGTATGAAGGATGATATTATCACGACTCCATAAAAAAAGCCAAACGCTCGAAATCTAAAGCTATATGAAAACGCACCGTCTTCAACTTCTTCACAACTGGCTCCTCTTCAGTGGGAGCAGTGACAGGAACTTTTTGTTTTCGAACTGCTGTTGTTGGCTCCTCAGACTCCTTCACTTGACATACTACTTCCTTCGACTCCTTTGGCTGAGCAACATCCTTTGGACTCTCCTTCACGCTAGATCCCTTACTAGTTGGTTGCTGGGTCTTGGAACTGGAAGATTCTGCAGTCGCTCGTGGTTTAGAGCTGCTGCTTGAGATTTCTCGTCGTTGGTCTCGATTTTTATCACTTGATTTCTCGCTTCTTCTATCTTTTTCTTGATGATCCTTGGACGTGACAACTTCTTTTCGTTCGCTCTTAGAAGTTGGAATTTCTTTACGATCATTATCTCTTTCTCGTTGCCTAGCACTAGCAGATTCCTTGACACGATCCTTTTCAACATCTCTCTTTTTACTATCATCATCCCTGCTTCGATGTTCATTTCTTTCACGGCTCCTATTTCTACTTTTCTCATCTTTTCTATAACCTCTGTCTCCATGCCTTCTATCCACACTTCGGTCACGCTCCCTGCCAGTTCTTTCCGTTCTCTCGCCACGCACTTCATCATGTCGTTTGCTGTTGCTCTCGTTCTTCGATTTTCTTTCTTCATATTTTCGATCACTGTAAGACCCCCTTTGAGATTCCTTCTTTTTTTGCTGCTGGCTGGTGCTGCTATCAGATCCCCGCCGCTCCTCAACGTGAACAACGCTTTCAACGTTTTTCGCCTCAGAAACTTCGCGAGGTGGCTTTTCCTCCTCGTGGACCTCTTCCTAAAAATACGAATTTCATGAGGAGAAAGTGACTAGCTTTTCAAAGTTGTAATGTTTATTTGTTTTTTTTTCTCCTTGCGGCATTAAAATTGTACCACAAATGAAGGAATACCTCTTTAACTCGACTGTCGCTGGTATCCTCGTCCTTCTCCTTGAAATGCCGATGTTTTTTCTCCTTTCTTCTTTTCTCCCTTTTCTCTTTTTTATCCTTCTTTCGTTTATGCTTGTGCTTCGACTCCCCTTCTCCCTCGTCTTCACCCTCTCTGTAATATGCCCTTGACAAAGCCAATTATCGGGAAACATCAGCAAAGTTCATGTAAGACTTTTTAATACTTACCTGTGTTTCCTATGCTTTTTGTGTTTCTTATGCTTCTTTTCCTTCTTCTTCGAGCTTCCCCGATCATCATCATCTTCTGCGGGTTCTTCAGCAACAGTATCTTTTTCTTTGTCAGTAGTATCATCCCTAGTGACGAGAGTAGAATGAGTAGCGTCAGACTCAGATCGACGCTCTACCGGTTCTTCATTGTCCGCTTCACTCATTGCTTCGACAGCAGCTGTCTGAAGCAAAAAAAAAACATGCAATGGCACCTATCAAAACAGATAAACATCTTAATAGGAACAAAAGAAGCTTACATCTGCAGCTTCATCCGGCGGGGCTTCCGTATCTGTGACACTCTTCTCATCTTCTGCTTCAGTTACGGAATCCTTTACCACCACTTCTGTCTCATCAATGTCAAACTCAATGCCGTCGTCATCACAATTGGCTTCCACCCGTACAAACTGAAACGAGAATAGGCATTAACAGGCACCTTTACACGTGAATGCCAGCCACTAAGGCTGAGAGCTAGTCGAAACCTTTACAGTCAATGCATTTCCGACGCGAATGACTCTTTCATAATTTTCTGGTTTTACCCGATGTTAAAAACCACTCTATGAAAAAATAATTAAAAAAAGAACAACAAATCACCTCTGCTACTTCCCGTAGCGTCCCGTCAATGGCCTCCTCATCGGCAATTTCTCTAGCTACATCTTCACTTTCATTGGACTTCCTTGGTCTCTGCTCTTTTTCTGCTTTACGTAGACGATAGTTCGAATCGTTCTTGTATCTGTCTTTCTTCTTTCGTTTCTTGCGATCACTTGCTGAAGCTGCTTGAGCATTTTGAGGTGACTTTGAGCGACTTCTTGTTCTTTCACGTTTTTCACCGCCAACTGCATTAAAGTTGGGTGGAATGCTTAGATCAAGACCCATTAGTGAAGGCAGAGGAGCTTCCTGGAAATACGTAAGAGTCCGACGCATCCGCAATTCAAGCTACTAGAACGAACCTCTTTTAGATCTCGAGGACGGGACTGATATACACCTGATCGTGGAGGCCTGAACACAAAAAATTTTACACGGTCCCTTAGAGGAGATACACATTCCACGCTTACCTATTTTCCCGATGCCTGTCACGATCTGCATAATCGCGTTCCCTTTCTCTCTCCCTGTCGCGATCCCTTCGCTCGCTTCGTTCGTCCGTTCGGCGAAACCTGCTATCTCGTCCACGATCCCTTTCCCTTGGCTTGTCGCTACGATGGGTGCGACGTCTATCTCGCTCATGACGTTCTCGTCGTTTCCTGCGATCGTCCCCAGAAGAAGATGACGATGATGAACTGGATGAACGATTTCTACTCCTGAATATTAACCTTTATCGTTAATCTTCCCATTACATGAACTGATAGGGAAACCGAGAAGTAATAACTAATATAGAAAGACTAACCTATTTCGCTTTCGGGGTCGCTCTCTTTCTCGATCTTTTCTGTGAAGGAAGGCATCCCACGCATCCATAATTTGCGGCTGCGGTGCACCAAGATTCAGTGTGGGCATGGGTGGCGGTTGATTGAAACTATAAAAAAGGGCTTTCACTTTGGAAGTCCTCTGAATCAGCTAAAAGGTAAAAACTCGCATGTAAGAGGGTTGACTGGATGCCGTTTGAACAATTATGTGAGATTGTAGTGGTAGCCCTACACCAGGGATCGGAGGGAGGTTAGCGGCAGTGTGCAAAGCTGAAGGAAAAAATCCATTACTGTTCCATCAAAATTTTGTCTATTCTTACTTTGTGGAAGGGGCAAATTTATCGGAGGCAGGGGAACTGCGGTAGTCCCTGGCGGTAGCAAAGTGTCTCCAGAAGACGATGAGCTCGCAGCTACTCCGGGAACCATGTTCGGGGGTGGTTGTGAAAACGACGCCGGAACCTGAACATGGAGCCCTTAATACGCAGAAGCAAGATGATGCCAGATCTCAACTTCTCAACGGTGGGTTTCCTATCTCCTAGTAAACTACCAGTATAAACTTGCCGGAATAGACACGGGTGGCGCAGGGGCAAATGGATTTGGTGAGTTCTGGCCTTGAATGGTATCTGTTGGTTGAGTTGTTGTTGGAGCTGTTACAGCAACTGACGGCTGTGGAACTGCAGCCGGTACCGGAGGAGGGGGAGTGGATGCAGCGGGAGCCGCGACAGCAGGCTGAAGACCAATTCTGAAAAGAAACAAATAAATCAATTCGTTTTGTAATCAGAGAGAGGCTTAGCAGACTATTCCTACCTGAACCTCATATGTTCTTGATCTTGGTTCCCAGAGCCCGGTCCAGCCATAGCCCATGCTTGAGCAGCTTGACGAACTGTTTTGTTTGGCACCAGTGCATCGACTGACAGCTTAAATAGTTAACTTTTTGTGAAAGATAGAATGAGGTATTCAGCCGTTATCAGTAGGCTGCTGTGGAAGTGCTAAGGAAATAGCTTGGTACGACCTTATAACATTTAAAATGATGAAAGCGTTCGAGCAAATTCGCAGCAACCCCGCTTCTCATCATCGCCCTTTCCGCTGCTACAACAGGGTCTCGGCCCATAAAAATTCACTTCTGTATGAATAAAACTGCGTTGAGCTATAAAAACCCCTTGCCCAATGGCATCGTTACTACCATGTACGGCTGCGCTGAGTCTTTGTTTGCGCCTCTCCCTAGAAGTAAACATAGCACGCACGACAGAACTAATACAAAAATCCTGTTTGGTCAAAATACAGAAAATCACCACACCTAATGATCTGCTAATTTCAAAACAGTGAGGGGTTATCACTGAAAACGGAGGCACTTAGCAACTAGTAAAGACAGTTGAGTTTAATCTTTACACACATGGTAGTCAGGCTATCGCAAAAATCAAAAACCCTTTTCAAAGGCACTCGAGTACGTCCGAAAGCCTCAATACAAGGGTACAATAAAAGCGAGCGGATTGCATGGCACACAAAAGCAGCAATTCGTAGGTACGCATATTCAAAGAAGAATATATTGTAACTCGGTAAATCAACACTTCAAAAGGAATTTCCGTACTATATAAAAACGCTCGTCATTCATAAAACAAAGAGTCCGTTGCACCTGTTTCTGATCACAATTTTTCCCCGGACATTGACGGTCTGGCGACTCCATCAGCTTGTTGGAGATACAATCAGCACAGAAAGAATGACCACAACATGTGGTAAGCACAGCATCCTACAACATCAGTATCGCAACTCTTATACAATCATATGCTAGGAGATTGAATTGAAAAACACACCTTAAGCAGGTGAGAGCACAGTGGACATGTAAGCTCTGGAGGTGGCACCCGTTCCACTGCCGGACCCTCTTCAGTGACCTAAAGTTACAGCTTAATAAAAGGTACAGACGACAAATAGTGCCCGATAACACGCCTTTTTCGTATGCTGCCGTGCCTTCCAATGCATGATTGGCACAACTAGCTTGCCTGAAGGATGCAACATAGCTAGTGGATCCTCGGGAGTCGTCTCCATAAGCTCTTGCGAAGGGATTCCAGTAGTTCGCTTCGTGGCCAACTGAAAACAGAGCAGTCGAACCGAAACGCCCCATATTCTGATGAGGCTTATTAGACCTTTAAATCAACGATGCTACCCAGAAGACGCGCTATTAGGTCTTACATTCGCTGTACTGTCGTCGTAACTGTCAGTGCCTGTGGACTAGTCTGAACGTCTCCTGGGACGTAAACTACTTTATCGAGTTTTGTCGCATTTCTTCAGAAATCATTGGATGATCTAACACAAAGGGGATATAGCTCTTAATTTATCGCAAAGACCCGAACAAATAAAACAACGCTGTGCATGTGGAGGCTCATATTAACAGGTCAGTGGCCCTATTCAAGGCCGCTTCTATTCTGAACTTGTGTACAATGACCGCAGCTAAACAGTTCAACAACAAAGCAAAGTTACAGAAACAGACAAAAACAAAAAAAAAACGTTAGCAACAAGAAATTCAACATCAACCGACGATGTGTTCAAAAAGGCTTGAACATACCCGAAGTGTTAGGAAACCGTATATGATATCTAAGTTTATAAATAGTTCTCCTAAAGAGGAGCAATTGGCAAACCCTAGCCGCTACCGGCTTACGGCGACCAAAAGGCGCATCCGCGCAGCGATGGTGATTACCATTGGACAGTTCTTGTACCAGTGACCAGGTTGATAGCAGCGATTGCAAGTATAGGTTGGAGGCGGTGGTCCGGACATAATGTTCGTCGTCTTCTTTTGAAAGCTGAATTCGAAAATTTTCGAAAGATGACCAGTGGGATGGCACATTATGAAAGTTAAGGTTTATCGAGACCCTAGCGAGCACACATCCTTTCAAGCACCACACTCATTCAGCTAAGTTACATGTTCCTCATAGATAGCTCTAAACGGTACACTACCCAGCAAGACAACTAGCTGAGAATCGGGACTCCTACCCACCAACCCTCTTTCGCCTCTGGATGCAAGGAAATCGATATGGTCCTAACGACGAATTGTTTTCTTTCTGACAATCTCTCTTCATTGCAACAAAAAAGGTTTGATTAACTAGCGACGACCCATTTCACGAGTTGCACAGTTCTTCTCATGCGAAATCTTCATTAGCTGAGAATATCACCACGCCAACCTTAGCCTTCCATTCGTCCGAAGCTGCTCACAATACAACCATGTTTGGAGATCAAAAATCTAGTTAGCCCCTTCCTACTCTACTGCTTCAACAAATCAAATTTTTTTCTTTGAATTTGCACACCTAGACCACAAGGAAACATACTTGCTAGAGTGATACTTTGCTGTAGATACATCCTTGATATGAGCAATTTGATCCTCTTCCGACAACTTCTCAAACTCCTCCTTAAACAAAAACATTGAGGAGAAAGCTTCCAGGGCATAGCAAAAGTAGAAAAAGAAAACACGAACCGGATTCATATGCGCAGGAGCTGCCAAGCCAGTTTCTGCTGCTGAGGGTCGTACGACGGCTCCCGTATTGACACCCCTGGAAATGCAATCAGTATGTTCAAATCAACAAACATATATTATTTCGTGAATGGCGGCTCAATCTCTGCAATTTGGCTAAAAACGCCTACTAAATCAGGTTGATCGTCGACGTCTAAGAGAAGCCAGTGAAATTCGATAAAGGAAAAAACAGAGAAATGCACGAAAAATTAATTTACTGGATTTTGGGAAGCTTTTCGGCGTCTTCTCGTGGGACTCGCTGCACAATGATCGACGAGTTTCGAGGAATGAGTTCTTCTGCCGTATAACTTCTCTTAGTATGAGCATTCTAAAACAAGAAGTTCTTTTTTCAACTAGAAATGTTAATGTAGGAAATGATGCCACAGAAAAAAACTAGTCTCACCTGTAAAAGCAAATCGAAAGCCTCTGCCTTAATCCCTTCCTTTAAACAAATCTCCTTCTTGAGATCTGCTCCGGTGATATGTAACCCGTCAAACTGGAGTGTCTTGTATTCCAGTGTCGCTCGAAACTTGTAGTGAATCGAGGACATCGACCTGAAATTATATTCGAAAAAATTATGGCGGTACAGATCAAAATATCGTATCACAAATCAAAAAAGCGTTAACGGAAAAACGTGGCAACTATGACGAGTCCATGACTTGGGTGAGCAATGACCAACAATTGAAGCTTGCAACCAAAGAACTTGAAAAATTTCCGTATTCCTATTGTATATTTACATGCTTTCAACTGAACACCGCTGCTATAACTGATCAATAAGCTTTGACTAGCTTAGGCTCTTTCCATAAGAATAGGTCCACCAAAACCACTTTATGGATAACTGGAGTGTTCAACAAGGAGCATTCAAGCATGGAAGGCGACGACGTTGTTGCAAGAGTTTAGTATATCGATTCGAGAGCGATTACGCTGAATCATAATGAGAAGAAGGGACCTGAACCTCAAAATGCGTCGCTCAGGAAAGCTCGGGAACATTCAAATTTCCTACCACGAGTGCAAAGCGAAGACTTGGCTTGCGAAATGAAAGAAATGAGAAGATGACGAGACAAGACAGGGCAATCAAGGCGTTTGTGCAGTCTTTCACTACTTTAAGGGTATAAACAGCAGCTCAATCTAGTTCCATGCCATCTAAACCGGACCTAACCCTAACAAAAGAAGTATGGCAGCTGCAACCAGTTCAGAATGTTGCCACTAGTGCCAAATGATTGATAGTAACACACAAATGATGGGAGGAATTAACAGATTCACTTGTCAGATCTAGACGAAATTGAAAAACTCCCAATTGAGCTCGCATTTGTGGACCCTTATAATACAACTTTTCGTGAATAGCCGAACCCATTAAGTATGTTCTAAATGGATATGCACATACTTACGCTCCAGTGAGCCGGTGCATTAGGGAGTAAGTAATTAGTATTTGAGCACGGATGAATTCAATCTGAACGTCCTTCATAGCTACTGATACCATCTTATAATCAATCTTCTGACCCAGCCTTTCTCTCAGAAATCATATTTCACATACAAGTAGAAAAAGATCGGTATTTACAAGCACGTCACAGACGACCGAAGTCAAAGATCACGAATAGAAATGAGTTTGCACTAATTCCACTCATCGTTGAAGACTGGGAACTGATTTGTAGGTAATCCTACAGAGGAAAATGAGGTGTTGGAGACGAAAAAAGGCTTTTCGAAATAAGAACTTGAGTGGATACGAACTACACACAAGAATGCCACGACTGCATTGTGTGCACGACCGCCGCCGGGGAACTATCGATCGAAACGTAAAGATGCGTCACGTGTTGCGTTATGCGGTTACCGTAATCCGAAACAATCATCAATTCGAATTGGAGCAGCTCATTTGACGTGTCGTAACAGGAGAACTGTCATCCAAGCGCGCTTTGTCGTGTTTTTTACCTGAATGAACGGGTTGAATACACGTCAAAATTTAGTTTGAGTGGGTCATTCAGTTTATCATACGGCGTAGTGGGTGGTCGTGTGTGGACTTTTCCCTCACTCCTTTTCTACAAAAAGTAGGGTCAGCTGACGATATGACAAAAGTTCCCATAGGTACATTGTTGCGTTACGCTGAAGTTTAGCTTACAGGCCCTAGAAGCCTTGGAACGAGTCATTCACTCTGACTCGAAAAGACTAGGCTTTGTAGCAACTGTGAGTGAAGGCCTAACCTTTAAAAACTTCAGTAGGGATCTGTATTCTTACCGTATCCCTGGTGCTACTAGTGATGTAGCACTACCACTGAGTATTCATGGGAACACCTACTGGTTCATACCATTGTTATGCAATGATAAGAGTAGGATTTGTGAGACATCGGGTGGATTTACCTGATTATAAATAATCCAGTTAAGGATTACTTACAATCAGTCAAATCTACCCAGTCTCTCACAAATCCGTAGGGTTAAGCAAGAAGTAATATAAAAGGCTATTGGATTTCAGTAGCTAGCACTTTCGTACTTGTATTAAACTCTGAAGCAACTCATTAGCCGCTACTTTTTATGGTTATTTTACAACCGGCTGAACTGTAAATCGAGAAAAACAGTAAGGATGACGGTGTAGGTCAGCACAAACAGATGGATTCATCACTTCCTCACTTCTTCTGCTTCTCATATACCGTCGAGGTGTAATTGTAGCACAATATTAGGCCTACTTCAAATATTAGCTTGTGGAAAAATTCTTTTTGTGCCCAAATTTGGCAAAAGTCCAAATTTCTCTTGAAATTCACTGAACGCTTCCATGAGACTACATGTAAGGGCACTATCCACGCGTATACTCTTACAGATTTCCAAGTTTTTTTTCCTTTCCCATTTACATTATACGAACCGTCTATCCATATTCCGGACACCGCGCTTCTGAAACCCATTGAAACTTGTGTCAAATGTTTGGTTAAAGATGAATCTGGTCGACCGACTGCGACGTCGCGAAATCTATCTTATGCATATACAAGTGGGCAGTGCCCTTTTTTTCTGACACTGACGCTTTCCATATAGCCTAATACATCAAAAGTGTTTATAAGAAAGGTTTCACTTTCGAGCAAATCGGAAATAACATTCCCAATCTCTTACACTTCGATCAATACGCTCAGTTCAATTTGATGAAAAAGTATGGTTCCTAGATGGGAATCCTAGTCTGAGAAGATTGGAGGGTCGTGGAAATTTGCGCGGCGTGGCGAAAGTGAAGGAGGAATCCGATTCTGCTAATCTCCCAGTCTATTATTCACCCTTAACAGTCCTTGAAGAATTCTGTGATTTTCTGGTTTCTCGATTTTCCGCTGAGCATGCAGTAGGAAATTTGAAGAAGACAAATTTTTGCCGTTATGGAACCTATTTTCACAACAGTCAATTGATAGTGAGAAATTGCTCAGGAAGTACGAAAAAGGATGAAGAGTCTAATGAAGTCAATTGGCCCTACGAAGAGCGTAATGATGGCAAACAAATTGCCCGTGCAGAAGTACCTGCTCTCGAGTCTACATGTATGTATACGCCCATATACGGGAGCGTAGTGACGAGTGACCTCGGCTCCCTCTGATTTTTAGCTGACTGTACGTCTGAAAACAGGCTTCAGGCTATATTTAAAGATCTTATTTTGGCAGAATACATCGGGCTCTGAGAATTCGAAAGCTACATGTAAGGCATACATGGACATTATGATACATAAATAAATAAATACATATATATAGACTGTTTGCAGTTCGAGCTGTTACTCTGCGGTTTCCGAACCGTGGAACATCTTCACGCCACTGTTTGGAGCCACAGCTCCAAGCCCAGTTATAATTTGCTAGAATTCATTCACCGTATTCGGTGCCGGACTTTAANAACGATTTTAAAACAACTTTCATTATGGTCAGAAATTGAGCGAATCACAGCTCTCTTCAGTCGGCTATACTAAATCTGTAGGCCAGCTTATTGTGCCTAGTCTTTAAAGAGGAACCTCCTAACATAGTACTCGTTCTCTACACACTTGGATTATATTCTAGCGTTTACGTGTTTACATCATGCCATGTTGTACAGTTTATGAGAAAATTTTTTAAATTGAGTTATTAATGTGTTCAGTTGATGGGGAAAAAGGTCGTAAGGTGACGCGCTGCTATTCAGGAAATATTTCTTCTCTACTTAGTTATTTGGCAGTTAAGCTGACTTTTATCAACTGTTTTTTTCCAAAAATTGGTTGCTGTAATGTACATCCCCTGCAATTCCGTGAGTATCCACGGCTCAATCCAGAAAGAGAATGTGTGGCGTATACTCGGAAGAATTGATCAATGTGGAGCACTCTATTATTCATTCTTCACGGTGCGTTCTTTACAAAAATACTGTATACAAGTACTTGAACGGTATAAGAGTCCTGAATTTGTCTTCTGTGAAGTTATGCAGCTCCTCGTGCCAGTCTGGGGATCCTGGCACGGACGACAAAACCTATTTGGCTGATGGCATCTGATCTCACAGACGGGATCTCCTTGAAGGCTCGGTTCAAGTGACGAGTTTCTGGGCTTCAGGTAACGAGACTTTCTGGGCGAGTCTCAGAGGGTGGCTAATGATGTCTTAATGGTAATTCTGAAAAAAAAAACTGAGAAGGAACACAACAGGAAGAAGACAAAGTGCACAATTGCAGAGAATATGGACATAGGGCCGTAGCCGGGATGAATCATTCAGTCAGTTTGTTTACATACTAACTACTGAGTAAATATGGATTAAATGAAATTCTTAAAAAGCCAGCGGTGAGTCATAAAGGAATTGTAGAGAACAATCTGCTGCTTTAGACCAAAGGACGGGAATTGAGATACCCCTTCCGCGAGGAATTCTGAAAGTAGATTGTGCTACCAGTATTCTCGAATTTCAGCCTTGGGTCATTCTGAAAAAATGGAAGAAATTAGGAAATGGAAGGCAGTGTGAGTAAGTTGCGTCTCACTAGGGTACATTAGCAGCGGCCAGGATGATTTATAAAACTAATTTATTTGAATAATGTCTTTTGGCAGGATCAGGCAGAAGGGCAGGCCTTAAAAGTTATCATGGGGTCCTGGAGGAAACTTTGTAAATTCAAGAGAAACGCGGAAGCATGGCGCAATCTCTAACATGATGAATTATTGAAGTAAATCTTTCATTACAGATTCCCATATGACCATATGCTTCCCATAGGATGGGAAGGGGGAATGCAACAGCTATACAACATTAGCAATCCATTAAGTAAGAGGTCGTAAGAGAGATTTCCAATGCGTGTGGGATGCCAGATGTGTCCCCTCATCTAAATGTGTTCTGCATTTTCGCATAGCATCTGGCTTTTGGAATTTCATCAAAAAAA